GGACTAGAAAGCCCCAACCTTCTCCCCCAAAGCAGGCTGGTGGTTTCAAACTGCTGACTTTGTCTGACTCATATGTACTCCACTACCAGGGCTCGGTGGGTTTCAATTGGCTAGTCCTAAAGGATATCCTGTATGAAAGAAATTACTCAGCATGTGGAAGCCATGCCACCTACCTTGTGTTCCTGTGACTAAAAAAACAAAAGTCTATTTATGATTTAACGTAGATTTGCTGTTGTCTTTAAGGTTGTAGTCTAGTCTTTGCCAAATATAGGATAAGTTCTGGGGGATCAGAAATGAAGGAGTTTTGGTTGTTTCCTTGCAAGCATTCTCTCTCTGTTTACATAAGAATGACAATGAAATGCCCCTTCAGGAATCCAGAGAAAAATCAAATCTTTGGCTCTGACAGCATCTAGAATTTTTGCCTTTACTATGTGCATCCATCACATATTTAATAATTTCTGTCACCATATTTATTAATGTGTGTAATACATATTATCTGTTTAATCCTTACAGCAATGAAGATCTTTTGCTATCATTTATGGATCAACTGAGATGACAAAGGAGAGATTTAGAAATATTTTCCATATGCCACAAAGATAATAATTAGAACTAACTGGATTCAGATTAAATTCGAGTCCTCTGAGGCCCGTGTACTAAATAGCTTCGCTTTGTTCTCTCCTATTTCAAAATGCATAAAGCAGAGGTCCAGAGAACCTAACCAAACCTTCATCTACATTACAACATCAAACGGATTCCAGTCTCCTGGCTAGAAACTGGACTCCAGAGCCTGTCTTGACATCTCTTTCTTATATTATAAGGGACTGACGTGCAAGGATGAAGCAGAAAGAGGACAGCTGAGATAAAATGTAGGAGGAAGGACAAGACAAAGATCTGTCCTGATTTATAACTTGCCAGCACTTTCGGTGAGTCCCTTGATTTCAGACATACTTTCAGTCACTAATGCACCAAGAAGCTCCACTTCTGACTGTGCCCTGTAGTGAACCAGAAATCCCCCCACCAAAGAGCACAGTGAGCAGGGATGTTTGCCTGCAGAGATTAGGGAAATGACAGGCCAGCATGAGTAGGCAAGAGAGACAACTGCCAGAGTTTCTATGCCCAGAGTCTCAAACACACACACACACACACACACCCCAAAAACCTTACTATCGGCAAGTTAATTCTGACTAATGGTGACCCTAAAGGACAAGGTGGACCTGCCCCTCTCAATTTCTGAGATGTAATTCTTCACAGGAGTAGAAAGCCTCCTCTTTCTCCCAAGGAGGGGCTGCTTGTTTCTAACTGCTGACCTTGCCATTAGTCGCCCAATGCTTAGCCAGTATGCCAGCAGGCCTCATCAAAAGGCTGTAGCCTTTTCCTCTACTGTAAAATTACAGTAATGTACATTGTTCTTTTGTCTGTGTAAAGGGAAACAAGACACATAAAAAACTTAGTGCAAATCCTGTCACTGGGATTCTTTTAATGAATGTAGTGTAGTAAATATCACTACATTTGTGATATTGTAGTCACCATCATTATTCTCATCACCTACAACTCAGTGGTGACGGCTTGAAGTCAGAAGGACCTATTTCCTCCTCCTGGAGAAATGTCTACAGGGGCTAACAGAAGAAATCGATTCTAAATGAACTTTCTCAAACCTCTACCAGAATAGAAATTTCACAGGCTTTGAGCAGAAGCTTGGCACACTTCAGGGCCTCCCAGCTGACCATCCAACATGTGCTGCTTGTCCTGATGAAGAGAAAACAGTGCTTCCCAAACCCTCTGTCCACTCTCTCCCACGGAACTCCCTGAACTGCTTTGGATGTGTGCTGGGCATGACCAAGGAGTCTGCTCTACCAACCTTCTCCTGCTTGGTGGACAATGAGGGCTGAGGCTCCTTCTGCAAGATTATCAGGAAAAGAAACTCAGTCACGGACCTTCTGAGGCAGGCAACCATTCTGGGGGAGAGACATGGTTATGTAGCTTGCTGGCTTGATATGGGAAAATTGAAGACCTGGATGGCAGAGGAAGTTTATTTAAAATTGCAAGGTAATGAGACCTAAATACCAAGAGCTCACAATTAGCCAAATTGGTGCCCATTACTATAATCTCTTAGGACTTGTTAATATTAATGACAGAGGCAGGGGACAAAACCATTGTCCTTGGAATCTAGGTTCTGTGCTTCTAAGGCCAAAACTCACCCATGTTCCTCATTTCTATATTGTAAGGCTGTTAACATGAAAAATCAGACAATTTTAATTTTTTAATTTAAATAAATCAAAGTCTGATTTGCTATCTCAAACTCATGAACTTCAAAATCTAGTTTAAGGAAAAATCAGTCTTCATCCTTGAGTGGTGCTACTAGCTGAAAGATTGACAAATTGAACCCACCTAATGGTTCCAGCACCCTGGTGAGGAAGGGGTTACATAGTGGACTGCTAACCAAGAGGTCAGCAGTTTAAAACCACCAGCCGCTCAGTTGAAGAAAGTTGAGGCTTTCTATTTCTGTACATAGTTAAAACCTCCGAAACTCACAGGGGCAGTTCTCCTGTGTCCTGGGTCACCGTGAGGCCGCACTGACTCATGGACAGTGAGTTTGGAGTTTGGGAGTGGTTCCTTGGAAGACAGGCTTGATGATCCTCTTCCAAAGGTCACAGCCTTAGAAATCTGTTGGAGTGCAATGTTACTCTGCACATGAGAGCCAAGAGTCAGACTCAACTCCATTGTTTAAAATTAATATTTGTGTCACTAAGGAAAACTATCAGTAGCTCTTGAGTGTGGTTTTTGGTTTCATGCTTGGGCGATTTTAATTTTTGCCAATTTAAATGACATCATCAATTCTCATTTTTCTGTGTTCCTAATGAATGTTTGAATATTAGAAAACTACTCATTTTGTGATACTTATTGGGTAGCTTGATTCCTCACTTAACTATTTCTGTTGTCCTCACGGAAGACTGCATTCAAAATGTTGCCCAGGGGTGTAATCATTTTAAGGCTTGACAGGAGAAGACTGAGCTCAGAGGTCACTCAGGTGTCACTTAGTAGGATTCAGTTCCTCAAAGACTGTTGGTAGAGGCCTCCTTCATCTTCTGTCCATAATATTATTGTGCAAAATTTCCCTCCACCATCCATCTGTCAGTGTATCATGCTGTGGTAGCCTGTGGGTTGCTGTGATGCTGGAAGCTGTGACATGAGTATTTCAAAGCCCAGCAGGGTCACCCTAAGGAACCAGGTTTCAGTGGTGCTTCAAGATTAAGAATGGACAATGAAGAAACATTCTGCTCCCCACTTTGGAAGAAGTAGTCACTGAAAACCTGATG